ATGCATGTATCTGTATACATATATATTCTTAAAAACAAAATACTTAGTACTTATAATGTTTCCTAAGTATATATTTTGGCTCTAGCAAAGACCGCAAGACCTCTGCTGACCACTACGGAATGCTGAAAGTGGCAATGATAGCATTCTCCATGGTGGGACACAACAGTTGGTTATCCAATAGCAAATGCTCTCCATTCTTAGGGTGAAATGGTTACTAACAGACGGCGTGGATATTTATGTTTTCATAATAGAAACTGCCTTTTCTGATTACTCTTAGTCATTCCCTGAGTGAATTCTGCTGCTTACTTCTCATTTATACCATCCTGATTACAAAAAGGCATTCTTTAGGAGGCCATAATTTAAAAGTGAGTTGGGGATATTGAGTGTCCACCCCATGGAAGAAGTTGAAGGAGGGACGAATATATGCAATTACATATTAATTACGTTTTTAAAAATTAAAACCTTACTTAGAAAGAAGTTCTTTCTCATTACAAAGAGCTATGACAACTCTTTAAAATGTATAGAATCTCTTCAATTCCAAGTAACAATGAAAACATTAATTTTGTACAGTAAAGTGTGCTTTTAAATATTAATGTTTATTATAGACCTAAATAAATGAGGACAGTAATGCCTTTTTCCATTTAAAACATATTAATAAAGAAAAAAAGAGTAACCTATATGAGTGCAGTTCCAGCTAGAAACCATATGTGGACAAGGAGAGAAAACATACTAAACACACTAGTGGGGAAATCACTGCTTTAATGCAAACCCGTGGTGCTAAGCTGGTTGCTACTGAGGACTTGGCATCTAACATAACAGAAGAAACTTTATTGTATAAATGTAAGAGAGTGAACATCAGAGAAAAAATTTACCCAAATTTAAGTTTTGCTTACCCAACTCCAAGGATTGTCATTTGAAGGAATATTTAATACCTTAATTTTTGAATAGAACAAATTCACTCAAGAGCTGAGTTAATTTTTTTCTGTACCCTATGTATGAAGAATTGATTTTGATCACCATTCTCTTGACTACAATATTTTTGTTTGTTTGTTTTTCTTGTCAGGGTTTATCTGTAGCTTTGGAGATTACCCTGGAACTCTTTCTATAGATCAGGCTGGACCTGAACTCATAGAGATCTACCTTCCTCTGCCTCCTGAGTGCTGGGATTAAAGGTGTGCACCACCAGTGCCCTTATAGTTATATTTTTTTTAAAAAAATTAATATACTGTAAGGCATAAAGACACTTAAAATCAAAATATGTTACAAAATGTGAATAATATGCTTTTAGTCATCAGTTACATTTTATCCAAAGAAGTCAAATATAGCTAAAATCAATCTTTCCTGAAATTGCCATAATATTGTTCATATTCCACATGTTTGTAATTTAATGGTACTTAATTTTTATTCCTCATTAAGCTATGGCTATAAGTAAGTACTTTAAAATAGAGGGTTAAAATAGAGGATTTTTTTCATGAAAGAAAAAGGCAGAGCTAAGATTATAAGAAAAAAAGTAGAAAAACAGTCATATGCTCAGGAATTCGCATGTAAGAACTTTAATGGGACTGGTAAATAGTTACACATGAAAGATTTCTTAGTCAACACTTGTTATAAACAACTGGACACAGAGCAAGAACATTATGTGGAGGAGAAAAAGACAAAATCCTCATACAACTGGGGTGAAACTTTCTTCTAAGAGAATGAACAAAATTGACTTATCTAAGTAGTGCAATATGGATAGTGTTTCTGTTAATCCTTAGCTGTATACAAGTCATATTCACCATTTACTTTCTCCATTTTAAAGCAAGACAATCTGATCATATCTTCTTAAATGTCCATGTTGACCACTTAATAATTTGATTATTGTGATGGTTAACATCGCAATTAAAATTTAGACTTATCTTTACCATATTATATTGATGACATACACACTCCCCAAAAATGGCAGAAAACATAGACATGGACCCAATATATAATGTTTAAATTCCCCATGTACTTTAGGCAATACTTCTGTTCACCAAATATCTAATGCGGAAATTAATGAAGCAGATACGAATATTTCGTTAAGATAACTAGTACAGACATGGTATCCAATGTGATGATTAAAGCCTAAGTAATATAGGCAAACAATAGAAAAACAGTCAGCACTCTGCATATATATCTTATATATTTGTGCATATATATCCATATATAATATGTAAGTGGTAGTAATTATTGGGGCAGTTCATCATAGATCCCATGTTGTGGTTGTTATAGGAATAAAAGGAATTATTCCCTTAAACGTAGGGCACTGAACTTTATCTTCAATAAGGTGAGGTGTTATCAAAATTGAACATGTACTTAGCTCTACGTTATCTATTCCCATGAGAGACAATAAATTGGAAAATGATTCCTGCCTATCAGATTAAAGGACAGATTGATTCTGAATAAAATTATTTCAAAAATAGGAATCACTTAAACATAGTCGTTTTTCAGGAGCTCTACGGTAAAATATAACATTTTGACATTTAGAATACCAAAGGGAAATTCTACTTAGAAAACATGGAAATAGCATAATTTTTAAAATATTATGAACTACATATGTCCATGCAAAATGTAGTCTCAATGTATACACTGATGTAGGTATTTGTATAGATTAGGAAAGAAGGAAGCAGTAATACATTTAGTATGGGTTATGCACTCTGCTTGGCTCTGCTTCTCTTTTCCTTTATAACTATGTGCTGTTTCCAAACTTTGTCTGCTATCATTTTTAATTCTTCTAAATTAAAAATGAGGATAAATTCAGAGGGAGTTATAGTGACTATACAGAGTAGGATTAAAACTGACCCCATTCCGGCCTAAAATGATTGAACCTTCACTTTTTTTCTGGCACTATTTAAATTTGCGGTCCTCCATCTTCCTTTCCTATACCTGTGACCCTTCCTGCTACTTCTAACTTTAGGTTGTTTTATTCTCTTCCACTTCATTTATTCTTTTCCTCATTTTCTCCCTATCCAGTTGCACATCGATAAATAGAGTGATCGATATAACATGTGACCTATATCATTATATATATATATATATATATATATATATATATATTTGAAATATTTGTTTCAAAACAGTTAATTACTTTGAGGATCTATTATTGAATATGACCAAATTTTACACACCTCCAAAACCTTCGTATATTTTCAAAACCTGATGAGCGTTAGCATTCTGTATACATAGACTTAAGGAGTTTCCCTTGTCCTAGAACATGCAGATTGAATGGTTGAAGTGTGTTCACATAGTATTATTTCTAAAAAAAAAAAAAAAAAAAGCTCTCCGTGCTTGCTTAAATACATCACTTTGGAGATGATAGAAACATTTCTGAGTTACTTTTTTAGCAGAATTTTAGGTAGCAAAAGAGGCGGTTACAGCAAAGTAGTTGAGAATGTGGGCAAGGCCAGGTTCTTAATTTACAAGGGGTGTAATTTTGAAAAAAAAAGTTATGTGAATATCTTGTAGTATAACATTTTTCTTTTAAAAAATAAGGATAATACATTATGCCTCAAAGAACTATGGTGCAAATACTAAATAGAAAGAGAGTGGACTAATAAATTCAACTTTGTCTTTTCCTAGTAAATACTGGCTGTTGCTTAGTAAATAATCCCCAGATGCAAATGTGTATAAAACTGAGAACAGTGTTGTAAAGATTCAAGTCATATATATTTCCTCAGAGGCACTCAATAAATATTTCAGCTGTCTTTGGGTACATTGTCAGTGAACCTGGCAAAAGAATCAGAAAAAAAGTCATTATGCTAATAATATTATCAATATTAAATACATAATTTAGCCCTGTATACAGTGTTTAGAACAGCTCTGAGGCATTTCTTTTCATGACTTAATTTCATGAATATTCATGAATCTGAGTCCAGTCATCTAAATCAATTGCCCCAGTGAATGATTAGGGAAATCGAAATGAGTTTAGTCCTGGAGGTTCAAATATTTAGCTGCAAATCAAGACGAAGACAGGTTGAGAAAGGAAGATGGAAGCAACCAAGATGAAAAACATGGCATTTATACCATCTCTCCCCACTGTCTTAGTGCTTGGTGGACAGAAAGGCATCTTGAATACTTAGTGTGGCATCTAAGGAAAGCTTGCTCATCCTGGTTAGAATAAGGAAAATCTGTAGTTACCCAAATGTATAAAAACAATCACTCATTGATCGCTGAACATAGTAAATCAATGATAAAAGCATAGACTGTCTTGGAAAATGCTTGCTAAAGATGCTTGTTTTCTATGTAAGCCAAGATTGTGGCTGATACCTCAGTGAATTTTATGTTTCTTCTCTGACAATGTGAATAGTCCAGTCATATTTAACCTTAAGTCTCCTCATTTTTCCCCCTAGTTTTGGGGAACTGACCTATAAAGTGTCTAGCTGAGATGCATTCTATTGCAGTTTTCCCTGGAAAGCGAATTTGCATTATAGCACAGCTATTAGTATGGTAATTAGGAAGTTAAATGAAACTAATAGTTGAAATTCTATACTCAGAAAATAATAATATACAGTGAAGTGATACAGTATAGTGCTTAGTTGATAAATATGTTAAGAACTTGACTAGATTATTTGCACTACAGAGTCTCCATATATAAATAAATCTTGATGTTATTTACGATTACAGGTCTTTCTGATCTCATGATCTGAATTGTCTTGGACATGTAAACTTATTGGTTTTTTTTTTCTTAACATACAGTTTCCTTACCTACCTTCCAGGTCAAATGGTTATAAACATTTGAGTATTCAAAATGTTTATTGTATATATATATTTATATTTCCCAAAAGCTGTTTGTTTTTTCTTTCTATTGGCAAAGCACTGTTAGCTGCATTGGGGATCAGAACATAAATCCTCTGCTAGTTTCTGTTAAGTTTCAGCTAAGCGTTGGGAAGTGAGACCAATCACAAGCAGTGTTTTAATTCAGTGAGATGGCAGCACATACCCCCATATCCCCACTCACCTATTGTTTTCTGTCTTTGCAGTTCCACCATGGTTTTTAAATCACCCTTCCAACCTCTATGCCTATGAAAGCATGGATATTGAGTTTGAATGTGCAGTTTCTGGGAAGCCTGTGCCCACTGTGAATTGGATGAAGAATGGAGATGTGGTCATTCCTAGTGATTATTTTCAGATAGTGGTAATTATCTCCTTTTCATATTAGTTCTGCAACCCTGGTCATTATTTGCTATTTTTTCCAACTAATATTTTTTCTTTACTGAAAAATAAGGTGTGCTTATTTCTCATATCTTATAGGAATTGTGTAAAGACAGCAAATAATTTGTAGACAGAATTCTAGGGAGTTAATCCAGGGTGTTTATTCTTTACAAAGAAAAGAAGGAAGGAAGGAAGGAAAAATGAAGAAAAGAAACAAAAGAGGAGGGAAAGAAATGGGAAGGGAGAGAAGGAGGTAGGAAATACAGAGTAGAAGAGAAGGCAAGTGAGACTCAGATATTTCCGTTGCTATTTCATGGGCTAGAATTAAAATCTCATGCAAGTCTAGGATTATTTTATTTGTTCAGCTTCTCAAAATAATATGCTTCTGGTCATTGATTGTTTCCTGCAGTTAGGTATGCTGTCTCCCTGACTTTTTCCGTATGGAGACGGTTAATCCCATTAAGGAGTAAAGATAGTAGTTACTATGGTCTTGGCACTAGCCGGGGATAACCATGGTATGCAGTGCTTTGTAACCCTATTATCCATTTTGAAAACAGAAGAGGAACCATAGCTCTTACAGCCCCCCTAAACTCCAGTTCATATTCAGTATGCCTGTGGGAGATCATAGGGGATAGGCCCTATATTCATGGACTCTTCCATGAGTATCAGAATATTTGCTCATTTGAAAGAGCACAATGAGGACTCTCTGTTAGGTAGAGGCTAACATCAAAGGTTCTGATTTCAGGCATATGAATATATAGGAACTAGAAAAACCGCTTTTCAACTATAAAAGAAGTGTGTGACAAAAGGAAGTCGCCTCAGGAGCTTTTGTGTTTGAGACAAATGTGACCCTGTCAAAGGACAACCACCACAAAGCCAAGTCTCCCAGGCAGATGGAACCCGAGTATGGTCATCCAGGGAGATCAGCACAGTCTCCCCCTGTGGCATTGCTCTTGTGGGTAAATGACTTCCACAATCAGACAGCTTTCCACAACTTCCATAATCTCTCAGATGTATGCATTTTGTCACACTATATTTCTAAAGAAAAAAAATCTGTAAACCATACCTTTACCACTTCCGTCACCATTTTCCATCTTCACTTTTATTTTCATTTGTTTAATTGGTTGGGTAAAAGTAAGAGAGGGCACCATTTAACTTTTGAACGCCACACCAATCCATTATTTTAAATGCAATGCTTTTTTTTTCCCACTACCACTGAATTAAAAATGACCTGCCATTGGACAGGCTGAAAAGTGGTCCATGTGCCTAAAATATATGCTACTTGCACAAAAAGGAAATTGTTGAGTGCCCTTAAGGACACATGATAAAATGCAACATTTATTTTTTTCTACAGCTTGAATAATCTTGCTCACAGCATGACTCATTACAGCCAAGCTATTTAAAATGCTTCTTTTCTTTAGGTGGAAGAAAATGTGTGGCATATGCCCTATTCACATCAAAATGTGCTTAAAAATATTTCCTGAATAGTTTCAGAAATTTGAGAGCCATTGTGTGTGCTGCCCATGTAGTGCTGAGCTCACATAGTAACTTAGAAGGGAATTGTTAATTAGAAGTTAGCCAACTTTATCTAAGAATTTTACATCAGTTGAAAATTGACTACAAGACACTAAACACAATTAGGAATTCCCTGGGAGGTAATATTTATCTCTTAATGACTTTAGGGGAAGTGATTTAACATGTCTCATTTACTGAACTAATTCTTGGACTAATATTGAAGATAAACTGAGTTCATATAATTAAATACTATCTCCAGATCATTTTATCATCCATCCCTGAAAGAGATTGTGCTTCAATTTATATACAAAAGGCGTTAACTTTACTGTGTTTCCACACTGAATTGCTGGAGGTGAGAATTTTTGATTGTGAACAAAAACAATATGGATATAAAAATCTGCCTTAGGCTCGACATCAAGCACCTCAGAGATTGTGCAAAGAAATTACTATTTTAAAGGATATTAAAACATATATTTGGACAAATAATTCCAGAAATAATTTAACCTAGACAAAGACTTTCTTCTTCAGGATCTGCAAGAAGGAGTAGTTTTCTTTCTTCCACTCTTATTTATTTCCCTATATATCTCCTAGATCTAGCTCCCTTGATAAAGAGAAGCAGTAAGGTATTTTTGAATACTTATATTGATTTCTTGTATTCTTGTTACAGATATCTTTTAACATTTAAATATGTAGGATGTCTAGTAATGTGACTATACATCTCTTGCAAATTAGGCAGAATTATTAACCCCTGAATAAGAAAGAGAGTGAAGAGTGTGTAATACTTCCCCATGTAATAGGGCCGATTGCCTAGATATCCTCATGGTTTACCTTGCCTTCCGTGCTCTGCGTTTGTTTTGTTACCTTGTGTTCATTCTGCCTTTTATAAAATATCTAATCTGCTTTTCTTTTTCTTTCTAGGGAGGAAGTAACTTAAGGATCCTTGGGGTGGTGAAGTCAGATGAAGGCTTTTATCAGTGTGTGGCTGAAAACGAGGCTGGCAATGCCCAAAGTAGTGCCCAGCTGATTGTCCCCAAACCTGGTAAGACATGGGACTTAGAGTCATAATTGTGTTTGGCTTTCTTGCAAAATTCACGTAGTTTCCTGTGACTCAAATTCAGGATGAAATTATTTATATAATCAGGGTAGACAGTTGTGTATTCATGATATATCCCTTCTAAGAATTTTTTATTGGATCTGTCTATCTTATTCCTCTACCTGTCACATATATAAAATGAAATCTGAGCCCTATGAACATTAGGACTTCTACTTTCAAGACAACAGATTATTATTGTTTGTCTATTTTTGGCCAACTTTTGTTCCCAATATTCTGTGTAAAATATATTTAGTATCTACTACTGTATAAGGCTTATGTGCTTTACATGCAAATTTGGTTTTGTGTACATATACACACATGTATACATGTGTACATAAGCTAATGCATGAATATTTACACCATTCTTGCATCTACGTAAGTTGCAGGGAAAGAGTTGGTACATCCTCCTAGTATCCATTAGAACTAAGCAGAGGTCGAAGACCATCCCTAAAAGCTTCCCACAGGATTCAAGTATTGCCTGAAGTTTTGAAATATGTCTAACTTTATGCTTTTGTGGGCTTTTTTCTTTCTTCAGATATTTCAGTATATAGATACAAGAGATACAGAGATCTAGAGACAGGGGGTGGGAATTTGGAATGATGGAAAACTTGAAAAATGAAAAAGATGATGTGTATTCTGGCTGGAAACAATCTGGTGCTGTTTACAATGCAGAAATGAAAAGAAGAATCAATAGAGAAACGAGACTACATTTGTACTCTTGAAATGAGTAAGGGTGAGGCTTTCTTGGTAAAAAACCCATCCCAAAAGGTCCTTTCCTCTACCAAATGAGAGAGACACAATCAAGAGTGATGTTAAGCCAGAAGCTAGGGCAGAGATTAGTGCCACACACCGCGCCCCCGTGTCTGCGCTCTGTGTGCTGGCACCCAGTTACCGAGCTTCGGGCAAGGGGGCTGGAGGTTAAAATACACAGACACACACAGAAAGAGAGACAGCGACACGGGTCATCCTTGAATTCCCCAAGAATGCCCCCTTTATTGTGTTCAGGGCAGATTATATAGAGATAGCCACACCCCAGCCAAACCCACCAGAAACCACTCTCCTGCCATCAGGAACTCCTGAAGGTCTGGTGCTCAGAGCACCTGTAGGCACTCAGATCAGGGGATTGCAAGAAAGTCAGGATCTGGGGTCTCACTGCTCCCAACAGTTAGGACCTCTTATAGAGATGCCAATGAAGGAGGGCTCTGAGAAAAACACATGACTGCTCTCCAAAGTATGTACACGCATGTGTTCCGTGATGGTGGACTTTGAAGAACATATATTGAAAATAAAAATAAGAAGCAGACTTTGCTCCATCACAGCAAAATCTTTCTTCCCTCTCTGACCCTATGGAAGCTCCAAGAAGAGGTCAAAATCAAAGGCAAGGGGTTAAAACCACAGGTGCCATTAGGGAGACACTGCTGCTTGTTTCCAGTCACAGAACTACTCAGGATCAGAGCATAGGCAATAAACTTACCATTACTTTTGTGTTTAAGAATGCATTAAAATATACGTGTGTTTTCAAGTGTGTGTCTGTGCTTGCTTGTGGTTTGTGTTTATGTTTAAGTCCTTTATTTTATAAGATTAATTTGTTCGCTTGATTCTAAATATCCAATGATAATTGTTTTAATGTTTTAAGATAATTCAAGGGCTAGGTGATTGACCTGTTATTCAAATACCAAGAAGACATCTCTGATAAGATGGATATAACTATGGATACTGTGAGAAAAATTAAGGTGCTTTCATTTAATTCCCCATAATTCTGCTCACCCAATACACCAACTGTAAACATTGGATTGTGCACATTCCTGAAAGCTCTCTTTTAACAGTTGCTGGTCTTGTATTGTATGTAATCTGCTTAGATCCTGGTTCATTTGGGTATAGGAGTTTGTAAAGGCCTCCTTTCCAGTAATGTTATTTGTCTCTGAATTAAAGTCAGCTTAGGGTGATTGTTATGATCTGGGTATAGAGTATAGTCGGGGACATTTTGGGGCAACATCTTTTACATTTTTCGCTGAATTTAAAAGAATTGGTAGGAAATGTAAACAAAAATCCCAAAACATGAAAGACTATTGCTATGACTCTCTTACACTCCCACCGTAAGTGATGGATTGCTTTTTCCTGGCTATTTAATCTAGTCTTCAAATAATGTCACTCTAATTCCTCAGAGATGCAGTGTGGGCTGTTTGCACAGATGGTGGAGAGGCCAGCTATAAATATAAATTAAGCAATGAGGTTGACCGTGGTGTGAAGAACATAGCCCTATTTAAATTTAAACAATAAATGGTCAACATACATTTTGAGGCACATTGTGGCCTTGCACAGCCCAGCTGTTCAGCTTTGGAGTGCCCATAGACTTATGACTGACAGTTACTCTTGGCAACCATAGCAATCTGCTTCTCCCTGAAATGAAGACAATGACCTGTTCAACGCAGTATCCATTTACAAAACCTCAAGAAGCTTGCCTAGTCTTTTACCTATAGTTATCTGGTTTTGTCCATCTTGAATAATTAGTGACTTGGGTGTTGAAGTAGCATAATAAGTAAGAAGTTGATATGCACTTTCATTTCAGAAAACAAATTTCGGGGGAAAATATTGGAAATGTGTGTATTGCAAAAGGTGAAACGTGTGCATGATTTTTATTAAATAGCTGGATGTTCACTAAATACCCAGTGGGTAGCATCTTAGAAATCGCTGTAGTGTAAGATGCTCCATCAATAAGGGTACTTGGTTGATATGGTCACAATATGTGCATGGTGCCGACTGCATGATTTCTACCTATCAGACACCTTTCCATGGGCAGGGGATAGCACCTTCACATTTAAGAGTTTAACGAATACCAGGATCATTACACAAGCAGTGTCACATATAAATTAAAGCAGTTTAGCTTCTTTCTTTACAGCACCTTAAGAGTTTAATAGTCTCTTTTCAGAACTGATGACGGAGTTGTATTTCTGGTCTTGCTGTTCATTTCAGTTACTATTTTGGGGGTGGGGAGAGTGCAAAGGAGGTTGATAACAAGCCTTTTCTGCAAGTGAAAGAGAATAGAGGTCCAGTTCCACTACTTAGCAAATAAACCACCCCCCCCCAAGATGAGTAAGTGCCTTTAAAATAAAACAATGTTGTTCAATAGCTAGATAGCACATACATTAACAGGAACAGGATCTTCCTTCTATTGTTGATCTTGGTAAATTATAATCCACCTGACCCCTGAGTCACCATCTACTAAACTGGAATGGGGATGAGCATTATATGATGAACTCTATATAAAGCTATTGGGTGTAGATGTTAATAATCATTCTGGGCCAGAGTGATGGGAAATGGGGAAGAGAGAGCATCAAAGGATAAATGTGTTAGTTATTTCTAGTTACTTATTATGATTCTAGCTTCTGGGATGCACTCAGTTTCTTCAGAGTGCCCTCAGTAATTCAGTGGAAGTAACTTTCTAGTTAAGGGTTGAGGGTTGTAGGATGAATAAATAATATACTTATCACAGAAGATTATATGATCTGAAATGTATTTAATGTGTGTGTGTGTGTGTGTGTGTGTGTGTAAGAATAGAATAAGATTATCATGGGAAGAAATGGTACACACCTCATATTCTATCTAATATAAAAATACAATAGGAAGAATCCATGGAATCACAAGTAGAACATCTTTTTAAAATCTGTGAATGTATTGGGCAAACTATTCAAATCAAACAAAGAAGAAATACAGAGTAGAGTCTATATTAATAGTACATATTTTCTAATGCATGATTTATTCTCTCTCAAATGTGGGTAACAATATAGAGTTTCACTGTAGTAGAGGAAATAAATTGGTTAGATATTAAGAAAAATGAGAGCTTTAACAATTACCTGTCCCCCCTTGGAAAGGTCGCCGATTACAAATTATATTGCATTTTAAACATTTTATTAAGGTAGTATATCATATAGCCTAGAATTAGCAAAAATATTTTGCCTGGTCATGAACAGCAACACATAAAAATCAAAAACCTGTGGTATTTTCTCTATGAATTGTCGCAAATCAAGATACAAGAAATGTAGGGATACAAACAGACAGGAGCTCTATCTACATGAATACTGTTATAGCGACATGTCAACTCCAAACCATGAGGGTGTAAAATTCTCAATGCTGGTTTGAATTAATAAATGCACAAGCATTTTATAAAACACTGAAAAGTGTACAATTAATTACAACACTATGAGGTATGTTAGGATTTTTTTTTAGTTTAATAATGCCTACAGAGCTATATAGAGAGCCTATAACTAAAGATAGGACATGCCTTAATCATACTAGCTCCTCATTACCAATTGAGTCTCTCTCTCTCTTAACATGAGAAGGGACTCCACAGTGTAAATGCTTAATCATAGTTCGTATATGATCAACTTTTTCCTAGGACTCAGCAACTCAAGTTAGAAGACGATTCCCATGTACTACAAGAATGTGTTAAGAGACCAACTCCCAGACACTGTCCTCCTAGAAAATAAACTATTCATTGAAATGACAATCCTCTTCCAAGTTCTTATGTTGAGTTCAAATGAGTAAAAGTTCAGCTTGGCATTGTAAAATAAATTTGTATCGTGATTATACTACAGAGCAAGCATTCATTGGAAGTTGTATTTTATAAATAGTAAGAAATTAATTCTAGCCAAGAAGATACAGAATCATTTTTCAAAAAGAATTAAGTCAAATTATTAGCTTCATCATACATGGCCCTAAATTTCAATAATTAAAATTTTATGTTTTGCTTGCCTTGGTAGAAATGAAAATAAGACAAAATTTGTGCTCACTGTCCCTCCCCCATGTCTCCTGTTCCTGTTAGAAGTTCAGACACTCAAGTTAACTATTTTCCTAAAGGGTACATTGATTTAGCACAATTTGGCTAATGATCCTGCAGTAATCATTGAAAAGAAGATCTCACCTATTTCCCCTTCCCAGGGATGGAA